ATTGCACTCTTCCTTGGAGGTGTCGTATATCTGGATAGGTTGTGTTTTGAACAATGACAAGCCATAAAGACAACAAGCTGAAATAAAACAGGAGTAATGAGACTATTTTTAAAATGTAAGAACTAAAAGTAAAAAAATCAGCTGAAAATTACTCAAGACAGAAAACTCATCACAGATTGTACAGTGCTGTCTTTGTGTTCATTTATTTCCTGTATACTTTGGATATAAATTGATTATCAATGGTTAAAAATATTTGTATTGGAAATCCGGATGAAGATAATGGGAAATGAGATAAATCTTTAAGGAGCAGACTCACCAGACTGAAGGTTTTAGGGGAGTGTCCTAATGAAATACTTATTCATGAATGATGTCAGAAATTCAAGAGCTGTAGGAAGGGGAGGGGGTTATTTGGAGAAGACTTACTGCTGCCAGGCTGCACAATATTTTCTCAATGTCACTGGTTATTTTTATTATCATAGAGTATACTGTGTGTCTGTTGGCAAAATATTTTACAACTGGATGTGTATTATTCAAACTTTCAAGGAATATTGGATTCATCTTGACAGCTGATTAGCATTTGGAGCTAACCCACTTCAAGATGGCTTCTACACCCAACTAAACTTCAAAAACACAAACAATGCAGTTCAATCAGTTTTATGGGTATTGTGCTCACTTGTAATGTAGCAGAGTGTCGTTCACAAAACATATAAGTGCTTCGCCTGTGGATGAGATTCTTGCCTAAAACTTATTATAATTAACTTTTAGCGTCAGCACTGTTAGCAAAAATATCTCCCAAACCACTTGACAGATTTTAAAGAAACCCTTAGAATGTAATCATTTGATGTTCAACTACTAGTTTACTTTTTGAGTTCAGTTCAACATTGCTGCCACAGCTAATCAGTATTAGCTAACACAAAAATCACTGTAACTCGGTCAGTTTAGCGGACATTGAGCCACATTTTGAAATGTTAGTAGCTGAGAGTCATTCATAACATATACTCTGAGTGTGATGTCTTTTGTTATTGTATGAGATCACACATACAGTAACATATTTTCACTGTTTGACCAAAACATCTACAGCTCTGGATTTTTTTTTTTTTTTAGCATAAGATGATCATACTCTCAGACTGATGTGGAACTTGGTGAGAAATATTTCTTTAAGAAACGCTGGTTCTTTAATCCTCAGCATTTTTAAAATCCAGATATTTACATCCTTATCAGTGCAGCTAAGTTGCTTATGTAGGACTGCGGTGTTTATGTATTTTTATTCTTTTGGAAGATTACCTGCTGAGCCAGCATTTAAACCACCATGAATATTTCAGAGAGTGTTGTCACTCCTGCGCAGGAACATACATGACGCGTGAAACAAACACCGGTGATCAGGTTCACAGTTGTCTTCATGATGCATCAAGTGACAGAAGAGGATAAAAGTACAGCACAGCAGGCATGATAGTGTAACAAAAAACACCAGATTTTTTGTTTTACATTTGCTATGCATATCTGCATGAAGTTAATAACCTTCCATTTTTTTCCTCTCTCTCTCTCTCTCTTTTTTTTCCCCTTCAAGGCCATGTTTTGTTTTTATAAATACAGTGTTTGACCCACATTTCAGTCAGGTCATCTAGTTCTACAGGCAGAGCCAAAAGGTGCTTCAAATGTAGAGCTAAAATAAGGCCTCAGAGTCCAGAACATCCATCAAATGATTCGACTTGGCACCTTGGTCTAAGAGCTCATCGCTGGCTCGTATTTGCCTACAGCTGGTGATGATTATCGTAAATACTAAAAATATATTCAGACATTCCTGTTTCTTTGTCAGTTTAGCAGGAAATAGTATATGTAATGTATAATTTTTACGATTACCAGTTACATAAATGCTGCATGTTGCACCTTTTCCAATTGGATCCAAATAATTTGCTCTGTGATCCTGTACAAACAAGTTCTGAAATTCTACATCAAAAATGGCATCACTGCAAGAGAAGCAGGCCTGCACACTTTTAGACTTTAATTGTTATAATGACCTGCAAAAAAGACAATAAAGGTTTGTTTTAAAAGCCAGCAATACAGGCTAAAATGTAGGTTCTCAAAGTTGGGGTCGTGACCCAACTGTGGGGCATGAAGCATCAAATTAAAAGTAAAACTAAAACTAAAAATTATCGATGTGATATTTTTCATATAATTATTACAAAAATACATAAAACAACTCTAAAATAATATAATAGTACTGTAAATGCTGTTTCGAAGGAAGGAAGCAAATCTAGCTTGCAGTGGTCTGGCAGCTGAGCACCATTTCATCACAACAAGAAGGTCCTGGGTTCAATCCCTGGTTTTGACTTTCTGCGTTGAGTTTGCAAGTTATCTTCACGTTTGCGTGAGTTTTCTCCAGCTACGCCAGTTTCCTCCCAACATCCAAAATCCTACTTGTCAGACTGCCTTAAGAGATCTGCATGTGATCTCAATGGGACTTGGCTGTTTAAAGGGGTGGGGGGTGTTATTTCCAGGCACATAGTTAAATTACAGTATATACCAAAATTAGGTAACTACGTTCCCTTCAGTTGTCATGAAAATCTAGTTTTCCTTCACTGCTCCGTCTGGGACTTCTCCCATTGAGATGGGTTTCGCTGGCAGATTTTTAGCCGGGCCAATCAGAGAACAGAACGTCAATTTTCTGTGCAGTGTCTGCTTGTAGTTTATTTTACCTGGGCCAATCAGAGAACAGAAGGAGGAGCTTTGAACGACGTCGACTTTCTGCGCAGTGTCTGCTAGTTAGTTTAGCATACGGCAGTGGAGGAAGTGAATGAAGCCAGTCTGTGTTGATAAGGCTTCAAATTAAATTAAATTTGTCTGACAAAGTAGCAGCTCTCATTTACAGTCGTCTTGTTCGGCTCGGTACTTTTCTCCTCTCAGTAGGGTTGTTTACAGCTCACGCGATTTTCGGTTAGCTTCTTAGCTTAGCCTCCGTCACAGCGACATACGTTGCAGCCAACTGATCCAATCATTTCAAACTTCAGCAGAGGCCACGACTCTTGCAAGAAATCGATGCTCTATGCATCAAGTCCAGACCCTTGTACGAAGCAAACTGAAGGACAGGGTCTGGTTTAAACCAGGCTATGAAAATAGGGGATGATTAGGGGAAGACCGGGGATGATTTTAACATGGGGTGCGTTGTAACGCCACCAGTTCGACCATTTAGAGGGCAGATAGAAGTCGTGATTATTTCAAAATTAAACCACTCACTTCCCAAACTCACATGGTGGATATCAGAGTTGTAAGTTGGTGTGTTCAAATTTTAATGAAAAAAAATKGATTTTGAGGTGAGAAAGTAAAATATTTTTAGACCAAATGTATATTTTGTTTGGTGCCAGATCTGACAGGCTGTATTATAGTGTTACAACCCACCCCACACCTGTTAGCCATTGTTTAGCTAGCTGCATTAGCATTGTGCTTTGAAATTAGCTGAGGAAAACTGTATCACATTTTGCTTTAGAAGATACCTTTTTAATCTACATCAGTTTTATGATTCTAGCTGTAGAGCATGGGATTTCCCATATACACTGATGAGATACTGCAAATCACTACAGACTCTGAGGAAACAGGGATCCAGTGATCTTACCAGTGTTTGTTACAGAACCAGTAAAGATCTTATGACTATTTGAGTCTAGCAGCAGACTGACAAATTAGCCAGGGGAGAGAACTAAAATGGGTGTTTGACATTATTTGAAAAAAGTGACAAACATTGTACTGGATTGCTGTATTCCTCAAATAAACTTGTAAAATGAAATCTACAACRTAGTCTCTATTTTTGCTTCTTTTGACTCATTGTTACAACTCACCCCAGCATGGGTTACAACCTACAGGGGTAAGTTGTAACAAAGAGCCTCTGTGTCTTTGACATTAAGTCACAAAATATATGATGTACTTACAGGATTTTCAGTCAGTACCATTTGTAGTAAACACATGTGAGTATTTTGGAAAACAGTTTGAGAACTCTATCTCCAAAAATCAAGGAGTTATATATGGTGAAGCAAAAAAAAGTGTTACAACCATGCCCAGCAAAAATAAATTAGACTTTGCATCATAGCCTTTAAACACCTTGAAATAGATCTCTGTCTTTTAAAGAACCTCCTTTCATTTCAGACGCTCCCACTTCAATACGTCTTCAAAATAAGGGGTGCTCTGTGGGGTGGGAGGAGCTTTGTGTAAATAGGCGGTGCTTTGTACCAGCAAGCATCTCCATAGAGCTACTGCAGGAGATTCAAGGATTTCTCAAACATGAATGAGTCAAAGCAACACTCTCGGGGTATGTTTTTGATAAGGGAATGACATAACATGATATAAGGTTAAAAAAAGTCAAATTTGCACAATGCCCCTGCCTGCCGTTAAACAAAGATTAACAATAAAAAACAATAATAAACATTTAGTATGAGGAAAAAGAGGTTTTTAGAAGCAGATGAAATAAGTGTAGGCTACCACTGTGTTATTGTAATTTCTTCTGCTGGGATCTAACAGGAGCCACTGCAGGCAAGTGTAAACATTTGTTTATTATTATTTTTTCTTTATCTGAATAATCTTAATATGAGGAGCCCAAGAGAAGGTGTTTCTATGGTAACAGCTGAGCCGGCTCCAATTAAGTGTTGAACAGATCTCAGGTAAACGCCTCGTGCATATATATATATATATACATACACTGTATTGCTTCCAACAGAAGTGAACAACAAAGAGGACCGTTTTTATGTGAAGTTGAAGCCTGTGTTCAGAGGAGCTCAGAGGGATGCAGCTGCAGCAGACAGCCTGCAGGCCATCAAGCTTCATTATGGTGGGGATGCGGTGTGAAGCAGGCCGGCCGGCTGCTGCTGGGTGGGAGGGACGGCGGGAGGGGAGAGAGGGTGGGATCGGCGGTGTGTGTGTGTGTGTGTGTGTGTGTGTGTGTGTGTGTGTGTGTGTGTGTGTGTG